GAATACTATGAACATTCTTTATGTACCTAAATTGAACAAGTTCAATGAAATAAACCAATTCCTTGAAAACCACAAACTCCAAAACTCGCTGGAGACATAAACATAAATATAGTATGTACTGACGATCAATTTTCTGGTTTTAATAATGTGTCATATGGCTCTGTGAAATGTCTTCACTTGGGGCGAAGTTGGGAATGGGTACGCAAGAACTCCTATACCAATTTTTGCTATTTCTATGTGAATCTAAAATTTTGAAATCTATTTCAAAATAAAGTTTACAGGAAAAAAAACTGAGCAAAATATACCAGGAAAATGCAAACAACAATACATACAACAGGGGTGACACTATTATGTCAGACAAGATTAAGAATCAAGGCTGAAAGCATTAAATTGGACAGAGAAGGAAGCTTAACCAAAGGCAGAATCTTCACTGAAAAATACGTGGGAGCGCAGATGCGTTTTAAGAGATTTTGGGGCAATGCAGAAGTCAAAGCCACCCCGCTGGGTCCTGTACCGACATCTCCAAAGCCAGGGCCTTCTCTCAGGCCGTCCCCACACAGTCCCCAGCCCACGGCTGTAGGTGTCCAACCGGCCACTTGTAGGAAAGACACTAAATCTGTCACGGTAATAAATACCCAAGCCCTCATTTCCAAGGAGGAAATGGGGCCCCGAAGACAAGGACGCTGGGCAGAGAAGTGGCCGCCCCCGCAAGGGACCCGTGCAGCAAACTGCGGCACAAAGACGTAGTTAGTAAAAATCACTGATTTAATAAATAGTGCGCTGTCTCCGTGCAGGCTGCCCCTGTAGGTCCCAGAGCTGGCAGGAGGGACGGAGAGGTGGGGGCCCCCAGAGGACCACCTTGCGGGTCCCTAGGGAGGATCAGGTGAGTGACCTACTGCTACCGTGTCCCCAGAACGTCCCTCTGGGGAGGGTGAGATGCAGGAGGAGCGGGGGAAGGGCCGAGTCACAAAGAGTGTTCAGGGACGTGCCCAGCGCGAGGCCCGCTACACGCCCTCGTCCTCGGGGCCGGTCTGCGCGGCCGGGGCGCGGGAGCAGTACTTCTCGCACAGTTTGAGCAGCTCGGAGACGATGAAGACGGAGGAAGCCAGGCCCGTGAGAAACAGCAGATCTGCCAGGAGGGGCAGAGGGAAGGGTCAGGGCCCACGCTGGCCGCTGGGCCCTGCCCCACACAGTCCGTCCCCTGCACATCCCCTCATGCGGTCACGCCGGGGCTCACACCCAGGAGTGGAGGCGCTTCAGCTAGAGCGGGGCCCGCGGGCTGCCCAGACAGACGCACAGCCTCTGAGCTGACGGCGGTGGCGCCCTGTCCCAGGCCGGCCCAAGTCACTGCTGCTGTTTTTTTTTTTTCCCCTTTGAGACAGAGTCTCACTCTGTTGCCCAGGTTAGAGTGCCGTGGCGTCAGCCTAGCTCACAGCAACCTCAGACTCCTGGGCTCAAGCCATCCTCCTGCCTCAGCCTCCCGGGTAGCTGGGACTATAGGCATGCGCCACCATGCCGCGCTAATTTTTTTTCCTATGTAATTTTAGTTGGCCATAATTTGTTTTCTATTTATAGTAGAGACGGGGTCTCGCTCTTGCTCAGGCTGGTTCGAACTCCTGAGCTCAAATGACCGCTCCCGCCTCGCCTCCCAGAGTGCTAGGATGACAGGCGTGAGCCACCTCGCCCGGCCCCCAAGTCACTGCTTCTTTCAAACACCCCCAAGTGCCGCTTTGGGCTCCCCGCCCCGTCCAACCTGACCCATGGTCTGGGAGTAATTCCTACAGCCGCCCTCTGCCTCCCTGTGTCAGACCGTGCGGGGCTGCCCCTGCCCTGCCGTCGCAGTCTCTACCCACGGGCTGCCCGAGCATGGGCACTGCTCCTGTGATCCGCTGACTTTCCTCCCGGGACAGAAACAGCTATTAAAACATTTCTTTTTTTGGGGGTGGAACAGTTCCCTTTCTTAGCTGCTGCAGGGCCTTCGTCAGTGCCCCTCACTGACACTGCTTCCACCCCAGTCTCACCTGCGGGTTTCGAGCGCCCTGTCTCTGCAGCCTCAGACCTGACGGGTCACCCCGAGCTGGCTGGAGCCACGCCCCACCCTGTGCTCTGCCCTGGGGGGGCAGCAACGGGGGGAGCACCTCCTCCGCATGCCTTCCCGCGGAAACGGGGGCTTCAGAGGCAGGCCGCACAGCCGCCGGGGTGGCCCGGGTGCAGGCCAGGGCTCGTGCACTCAAGTCCCTCCCCGCGAGAACCAGAGGAGGGTCCAGCTCCCTGTCTTCAGGGGAGCGGGTGTCTGAGCCACACAGCTGGTCCCAGGCCCTGCTCTGGGGTGGGGCCCCTTTCCCTGTGTCCCTCATGTGCCCACGTCCCCATCACGTCCCCCCCTGCTCCACGAAGCTGAGCAGGCGGCCACGGGAGCGTCTGAGGATGGAAGGACCCACCGGGGAAGCTCTGCCTTCCAGCTGCTCCGCCCTCCCGCCCGGCAGCTCCGTGGCCGCGCTCGGTGGCCCTGGTCTGCGCTGACCTGCGGCCCCTTCCACTCACCCAGCGCGCCCAGGTTCTCTGTCTGGAAGACCCTCTGCAGGGGCGGGATGTACACCACAGCCAGCTGGCCCAGAATGGACCCCAGCACCGAGTAGAGGAACATGTGGTTCCTGAGAAAGCCGATCTCCAGGATGAGCTTGGTCTGCGGGGAGGAGAGGGCCGCACGTGGCCGGCTGCAGCGACTCTCGCTGAGCATGCACCGCGGCCATACTCGGGGGGATGTGCTGGCGGGAGGGGGGGGAGGGGACGCCTGGGCTCACCTGAGAGCGGCAGGTCAAGGCGTTGAACAGATCGAACAGCACGAAACAGGTGAACGTCATCGTCGTGGTGCGGGGGGTGCTGGCTCTGTCTGCGGGCATCTGGAACGCGAGGGCACAGGGGCGGTTATGACGCGAGGCGGGTGATGATTCCCACGGGGCCGAGGGCAGGGCGGCAGGGGTGGCACCTGCACCCCCAGCACATGCCGCTCTGCTGCTGCCCCGGGGACCCCCGACCTTCAGGAGTGTCGGCTGCCAGAACGAGGGGGCCACCCGATGCTACGGCACAGAAAGGGGACACGGCCACGCCACTTCCTCCCGGAGGTGACACGCTAGTTAGTTAATCACATGTAACAGAATGTCACCTCCTGCAAGGAAGCCCAGCCCCTGAGAACCCATGTCCTTCCAGGGAGCTGAGACTGGGCTCAGGAGAGCGAGAGTCCTCCCTGGGCTGGCGCCCACGGCCGCAGTCTGGCTGGCGTTGCAGGTACGGGCCGGGGCAGAGGGTCCTGGCTCTGGCCTGGGCAGCAGGCCCCTGCCGCCTCCCTGAGCTCGAGGCCAGAGCAGAGGTTGTCACAGGGCATTTGGGTCTGAGCCTCCCGGAGCGTGTGCCCCGAAACAGCACCAACGCAGCGGGGCCAGATGCCACCGCCGGGACCGCGGGCTTGGATGCAGAAGGCCTGGGTCTCCCCCAACCCCATAGGCGGGACAAAGGTGGGGCCTGCTGCCCTGCCCCGGCAGGTGAGACCGCAGGGGGAGCCTGCGGGAAGAGGGAGCCGGGGTGGCCGCCAGCGTCCCGCCCCGTGCTGTGCTCTAGAAGGTGGACGGAACAGCTGCCTAACCACCCAGCTCGGTCACCTCGCGTCTGAGCCCGGACCCACCCGGGACACAGGGTCAGCCCTGCGGCACAAGACCCTTCAGGCTCCCGGTTGTTTCCTGGGGACAGTGACAGCAGGAGGGGCACCCTGTCCCACGTAGGCAGAAATCTGAATTTCTTTCTGTGCCCGAGAGGCCTCACGTTCCTTCTGCCTCCTCCTGCCTGTCCCCGTCTCCTGTTCACGCTCCTACAGCACCAAGCTCCGCCGGAGCCCAAAGTCTGCGCCAGGGCGTGTGCCGGGCTCACCTCCTTCCAGAAGACGAAGAGGGTCCCGCTGATGATGACGGCCGCGGACAGCAGCACCTTCAGGAGGAGGGCGCGGCTGAGGATGGTGTCCCGGACGCTCCGCGGCGGCTGTCTGAGGGCGTCTCTGTCCACGGGCTCCACGCCCAAGCTGCTCAGTGGCGAGAGGGACACTTTGAAATGAACCCCGAACGAGAAAGGGACCCTCGAACCAGGTCCCCGCAAGCCTCCCGGGACAGCAGCCTGCAGGATGTCCCTCGGGAGCCGGGCGTCTGTCCCCTCCTGGGGTGCCTGTCCCTCTGCCACCTCCCAGACCCTCGGCTCCTCCTGGAAGCCCCCGAGCCTGGGCCATGGGCTGCTGCGTCCCTCTGTGCCCTGGACGCTGGGGGAGGCCCACCCACCCTGGGGCCCGGGAGGACCCTCAGTCACGCCGCACGCTCAGACGATTGCCGTCACCACCAGGGGACCCCCCAAGAGCCAGGATCCCGGCGCTGCCCTCCGCAGGGAAAGCCCCCAGCTCTGAGGCAGCAGCGTGCAGGCGACGCCAACGGCGGGTGGCCAGGCAGGTGAGGCCCCAGCGCGGGGACACAGCCGGGGGCCGTCGTCACCCACGGCCCCGCTCCCAGGGAGGGCTTGCGGGAGAGCTACCCCTCACGCTGGGCGAAAATCCAGGATGGCTGCGGAGACTAAGACAGCAGTCACCGTCAGTCATCCGCGCTCACGCAGTCACACGTGCCTGGCCGCGGGCCGCCCGACCCCAACGCCAGTCCTTTCCCTGCGCCGGCCGGCCGGCTCAGCACGGCCCGCATTCACCCGGAGCTGGGGCTTCCTGCGCAGCCGAGCGGCCAAGCACTTTGGGGGGGGGGACACAACAACACCCTGCCTCCTTGGAGCCGACGGTCTAAAGGGGAGGCGGGCGGATTGCTCGAGGTCAGGAGTTCGAAACCAGCTGAGCAAGAGCGAGACCCGTCTCACTAAAAATAGAAAGAATAATTGGCTAACTAAAAATATATAGGAAAAATTAGTCGGGCATGGTGGCGCATGCCTGTAGTCCCAGCTACTCCGGGAGCTGAGGCAGGAGGATCACTGGAGCCCAGGAGTTTGAGGTTGCTGTGAGCCAGGCTGGACGCCACGGCACTCACTCTAGCCTGGGCAACAAAGCGAGACTCTGTCTCAAAAAACAAAATAAAAATAGAGGGAGGCAGATTGTAATCCAGTAAATGGGATATGCCTGTGTGCGTATACATATATATATATATTATATATATATCCACCTTCCTGACCTTCCTGTCCAGAAGAGAACAAAGCAGGGGGAGGTGACCGAGTATGAGGAGGCTGCTGTTGGAGCAATCAGGGAGGACTTCTTGGAGGCAGTGACCATGCAGGTAGCGTGCCCCAGGCAGAGGGGGCAGAAAGCTCCCCCCTCTCAGCTCTGCACTCTGCTTCCTATCCTTGTCCCAGTACAACACACGTCAGTTTTCCGGGAACTCCTTATGGGAAGTGACTGTGTCCGTTCACCCGGCCGCGCCTCACCTCTGCGCAGGCCGGCCGGTCATGATGATGTGATCCACAGGATCTGCATGCGTTGAGGGGCTGGGCAGGTTGAACACGGGTGGACAGGGCGATGAGCTCAGGGCCGAGATGCTCCTGCGGGCCCGGACGCCGGCCGTCAGCGGCTGCCCACGCGGCTGAACCCCCCCCTGGGACAGGGCCGCTATCACGTGCTCAGCTGGAACGCACGAAGTTTTTGATGTGTGGAAAGATGCCCTTGCCTTCTCCACGGCGTTCCTGCCAGGGGAGGGGGACGGTCACTGGGGGAGCCGCGCCGCTCGGCGGGCTGCTCCGCGGAGCCCGGGCGGACGCCGCACTCGGACCCTGCCGTGTCCCCTTGGGGGCAGGCTCAGGGACACGCGGCAGTAGGAGGTGACGTCGCCCAGCACACACCCACCAGCCCGGGACGGGTCCGAGCCCGTCAGCCTGTCACGGCGTACGCCTGAACACTCCAGTGAGGACCAGGTTCCTCTCGTCCCGAGCCCACACGCCCTGCCCGGCCCTGGTGCGCTTAAGGCATGTCCCTGACTTACCAGGGATGAGGCGCGCAAAACCGACTAAACGGCTGGACAGGAGACCCGGGGTGGCACAGAGAGGGAGGCCTGGGCGGTGGAGGCGTCACCTGCCTGGGTCTTTAGAAGCTCTTTCAAAAGTCCTTTCAAAACGTGGCCTGAGTAGTAGGAAAAACTGTCTAACCTCTACCCACATTGTTACTAAAAAATTGCAAGAGATTAAACTTGTAGAGTTATGACTGTACGTCTTATTCATTCATTGTTTTTGAGACAGAGTCTCACGTCTGTTGCCCGGCTAGAGTGCCGTGGCGTCAGCCTAGCTCACAGCAACCTCACAGACCCTGGCTCAAGCGATCCTCCTGCCTCAGCCTCCCGAAGTAGCTGGACTAGGCACGCGCCACCATGCCTGGCTAATTTTTTCTATACATTTTAGTCAGCTATAGTTAGTGGAGACGGGTCTTGCTCTTGCTCAGGCTGGTCTCAATCCTGACCTTGAGACATCCTCCACCTGGCCAGATGACAGGTGACGCCACCGTTAGGGCCACTCCCGCCTCGTGCCCTTGGCTAAGGACAGGTTTTCTTAGCATCGGGCACGGCTCTCCTGCCGGGAGGCACCGTGGCTCCCGAGGGGCGGGTGGGGAAACGCGCAGGCTGCACGGTCAAGTCCTGCTCCAGGAGTCCCTGACGTTTCCCCTGGGTGCCGCGTGCGGCCAGCCCCAGGGGGAACTGGCCTACACCCACGACTTTGAAGGCGGTGACGCCGGCCACCGCCACGAGTCTTGAGGTTCAGCAACCCCTGGGGACGCCTCCGTCCCCGTATCTCCACGGCGCAGGTCCGGGGGAGCGGGTCTCCAGGCACCTTTACAACCAAACGTCTTCCCCGAGAGCGGCTTACATGACGCCGAGAGTCGTCGTCCCACCAGGATCATGCTGGCGGCCTCTTTACTGACGTCGTCCCCGTCTGCCCCCATGGCGATCCGATGTCCGCGGACTTCAGGGCCACCGCGTCGTTCACCCCGTCCCCGGTCATGGCACGATG